GTATGGATCTTTTGAAGATGAGCAAAGACAGGAATAGAAACTTGAGAAATGGGTGAAAAAAGCTAAGGAAGTTACCATTGCAAGTACATGCAGTAGATTTTCAGGCCAGCAGATCATTCCTCTTAGAACCTAGAGACTACCAAATAAGCTGTAAAAATAAGAACAGAGGAGTTGCCCTGACACATGTTTAGCAATTGCAACAGCATGTATAGTATAAATATTTGAATAGCACAAAATACAGTGGGGATATCACTTATGGACCAAATATTCTTCTACTTATGTATTTTCCCCATGGTTGTCATACTAAAATGAGTAGGGAAGAAGACTGGTCTGACTGAAAAGAGAACTTTGATTGAAGCTCAGGAAAGAAAGAAATGTTCTGACCTTTGGAAGAAGGTGTGGGCAACTCAGGGGGACTACAAGGATGTTGTGAAGTTATGCAGGGAGAAAATTAGCAGGGTGAAACTTGAAACCTGAAATTAATGTGGCTACTGCCATAAAATACAGTAAGAAATGTTTCTACAAATACATTAGAGACAAAAGGAGGGCTAAAAGTTGTCTCCATTCCTTACTGGGTGTGGGTGGAACATAATGACAAATTATAAGGAAAAGGATGAGGTACATCATGCCTTCTTTGCCTCAGTCTTCAGTAGTAAAACTAGTTGCTCTCCAGGTACCCAGCTGTCTGAGCTGGAGGACTGGGATGGGAAGCAAAATGAAGCCCCCATAACCTAAGGAGAAATTGTCAGCCACCTACTACTACAGCCCCTAGACACACACATGTCTATGGGCCAGATGGGAAGCTGGTGAATGGTCTAGAGAAGTCTTATGGTAAGGTCCTGATGAAACTGGGGTTTAGCCTGGAGAAAAGGAGAGTCTAGGGAGACCTTATAACTCTCTATAACTAACTGAAAGGGGGATGAAGAGAAGTGGGCATCAGTCTCTTTTCCCAAATAACGAGCATTAGGACAAGAGGAAACTGCCTCAAGCTGCACCAGCCAAGGCTTAGACTGGTTATTAGGGAAAATGTCTTCACTGAAGGAGCTGTCAAGCATTGGAACAGGCTGTCCAGGGAAGTGGTGGAGTCACCATCCCTGAAGGTATTTAGATGTGTAGATGTGGCACTCAGGGATATGGTTTAGTGGTGCACTTGGCAGTGCTAGGTTAATGGTTGTACTCAATGTTTCCAACATAAACAATGTTTCTATGAATCAGTGGTTAAGAGGCAAGGGGTCAGAAGGAAAACAGAAATGTTTTCTTTTCATGTTTGACACAGAAAAAGGTTAAAAATTCTCCATATCTATCTGAACTATAAAGTTTTGCAATGTGTCCTGGCGTAAACCGCGACAGCATATGTGGCAGTTACCTAAGAAATACAGAATGAAAATCCATTCCAGATTTCATACTTATGAGGAATAAACTGAGAAAAATGTTAAATGGTTCTTCTATTAAGATCTAGGATAAAAGAAGTTAAGAAGAACAGAAAAGAGCTCCTGGAAATCTGGGCTTTAACATCCTCTTGACTCATAATGCCTGAAGTGGAGCCTTGTGTTTCATGGTGGGCTTTGTATATGTTCACTCTTCACATATTCAGAGTCTTACTGGCTGGACTCAAACAGTGCAGAGGAGCTTATCTGGGACTTGGAAAATCACAGACATATGTTTTGAGATGTTTCACTTAAAGTGGCCAAGATCTTCCCACGAAGGAAAGGCAATTGCAAGTTTTGCTGTCCCCTGGCCAAAGACAAAATAACTTGTCACATTCTGACTATGGGGTAGAGATTTCTGGTAAGAGAGGAGGTGCTTTTCTTAATGATGTCAGATATGCAGGTGATGTGGACAGAACCCTGGAGAACAGCCTGTGCCTAAAACCAGCCTAAATTAGAAGTTTAATCACACAGCCAATTTAATAGGTGTAGAAAGACAGACGCCTCCAGAGAACAGTATAAATCTTAGTGCAAGCACATCCTAAAAATAGTTGTGAAAAATCCACACCTGAGCCTGCTTTATGTGCAGGCGATTTTCCCGAAATGGACAAAGGAAATCTAGTGAAGAATTTAAAAACACATGCCAAGAAATGACTGCATAAGCTAGGACAAGGTAATACCATATTCAGAACCCTTCCCACCCATGTTTTTCTGCATACACAGTTGCATAATAATTAAGAAATTTAAATCAAATAGTAATTAATAACAATAACACAGAGTAATTCATACAGAATAAATGCAATAAAAATATATACAGACCAGAAAAGGAATAATAATTTATTTTACTTTGGATTAAGAAGTAATGAGGCATGTTGGCTGTACTAGAAATGGGTGAACACCAGGAGAAAAACAAGGGTACATATACATCAGTATGCGGTAGGATTGTATGACATGGTTTACTGGCAGGTGTCCATGCCCATGGCAGGGGGATTGGAACTAGATGATCTTAAGGTCCTTTCCAACCCTAACTATTTTATGATTCGATGATTCTGTGTATGTGTATGAGTTTGGAACCAGTTTTCCCTACTCCCTCACATGATAACAAAGCAATGAGATCACTCTGAATAGGAAAATATACCTAGAGGAAGGCAGAATATAATTACCCATGTGGCTGAAGAACCTTGTAATCTTATGGTCATATTTCAGATACCATTTCTATGAGAAGTTATTCTTTGCACTCTTAGGATTTGACTTTCAAGATAAGGTTTGAATGTATTATTTTATATAAAGCACTCAGATTTAGCACATTTTTCTTCTTTTAAATATACGTATTTTTATGTGCTGGTAGTGGTGGTTGCAATCATGCCAAGGCACATAAAAGAGAATGACAGGAAGATTCAAGGAGCCTCAGGAAATCAGTGGTTTCATGTACACATTTTTTGTGTTCTTGCAGCATTAACATCTCATTTCCACTGTTTCCAGCCTTGGATTCCTTTTGAGTTATGCCAATTAATAAGCTGCTGTCAATCTATTACCTCTGTGCAAACTTCAAAAGTAATGTCTTAAATTAGGATAAGGAAGCAGGGAAGGTATAAATGTTAACTGATAGTGTAAATCTGGTGGTGTCAAAGTCCTGCTAATACAGACTTTTTTCAAGTAAGAGAAGCATATTCCTTCAGTGGTTCTATTTTAAGTGAGGTTATAGAGTCTGTGACTGACAATATAGGAAATTTTGTAATGCCTATGTGGGCTTCGTAGTATCCAGGGAGTTAGGAAAGGAGAACTAAGAATTACCATGGCATTAGTGACGCATCTGACGTTTGTTTATGCATTCCTATGTCCAGTTTGTATGCAGCTTAGCTCAGTATTCATTTAATAGCTTTGTCTTCTTATCATTGTTTAATTCAAGTGTCAATTTTAATTACATATATGTATATCTTATACAATTTATTTTACGTAAAGAAATTTGGTAAATTTCTCTTACATGTTTTAGAAATACTTAAGATTGTGGCACCTGAAGGAGTTGAATAAAGCTGGCTGCAGCTGTCCTATTTTTGCTGTGTGTTTGTGTTTTGCTCCTGAACTGCAGAGGGGGTGCAGAAGATCCTTAAATTCCAGTATAACTGAGGAAACTTTATAGAATCAGAAAGAAGGATGGCAGCTTGCTTTTCCCCCAAATTAAGATTTTGTAGCTTCTTCAGAAGCTGTAGGTCTTCAGAATGGAAACTGATGCTAACCAGGAGCTGATTTAGCTGCAGCTGGACTTTATTTCTAAATAAGGAAGATGGGCGAGGCAGAACAAATACCATTGCTCTGGAAAAGCAATTACAGGAGTTATAAAATGAAGAGATCCTTAAGCCACGGAGGGTTTTGGTGAGAGCACAGTGGAGGAAATCCAGCTATACTCGGGGGATATGATGAGCCTGGACATCCTTCTTTAAACCCTTGCCCACTGGTGCACAACTTGGCACCTTCTTTTTGCTCAGTGTCCCTCCTGCAGAAGGTTCAGCCTGTTGTCACAGGCATCCTTGTTGTTACATGGTCATTACAAGGAGAACCCGCTTGCAGGTTCCTTGCCCAGGCATGTGTGACCCCCAAGACATGTGAAACCTTTCCTCCACCTCCAGCACAAGAAAGGCATAAGAAAAGGAAGGAGCAAAAGCTGGACCAAGCTTTGATGATCCTGCATGGCATTTCCATTTCCTATTGGCACTCTGTTGGGCTTGTGCCTGTCTTCAGATCCCAGCCCTAAACTTGATAATACTGCTCCTGAAAGCCTTGGAGATTTCTTGTGCTCTCACAAAGGAACCAGCTTTTCCAATCCACCTGCCTGCCAGCCACTATGGTGGACCACCTCCTTCTCCCCAGACAGAAGTTTGGCAGTGGTTAATGAGTCCACTTCAAGAACAGAGATACTGTCTGCAAAGTATGATATTCTTCACCCATTTTTGCCATGAAAAATCCATTCTATAGAGCCCTTTTGCCCCTAGGGCAGAAGAGGGGATGAAGGATGGAACAGCTGCCACCCTGCCATCAACGTAAAGGCAAATGTGACACTCAGAAAGCAATCTCAGCTCCTAGAGAGAACATAAGGGGAGTGTGGTGTGAGCATAATGGCCTTTAGCCTGAAGTTGTTTCAGGCTGACTAGAATAGAAGTCAGTAACACAGGCCCAAAAACACTTCCTGAGTTGCTAAGTTCAGTCCTCTGCTGCCCTGTGTAACCATCTTACATATTTTTCTTCAGAATGCAAGACTCTATAGCTGACTTATCTTAAGAAGATAAACCAGAAAATCTTACGGTTCATGTTCTTACAAAGATATGACATGGCAAGGCCTGCAGTGCTATCTGAAAACAGAAAACAATATGACTGCTAAAGTCAGAGAGAAGTAAGCTATGCTGCGTGGAAAATGTGAGAGAAAACAGAAGGTTTTAATGAATGTTATGCAACACCAGCAGTTTCATTTGTTGTATTAATTTAGCCATAGCTGCACTCTATGCAGCAGGTGTGTACAGCCTGCAGAGGGATGCATTTTAAATACATGTGGATGGAAGAATTTCATTTTTCACTGAGCTGTCTCAATTAATCCCCTAGTCACATCTCCGAAGCTGCATGCAGAGATGAAAATGCCACCCTGCAAACCTCCAAAGCCAGCATCAGCTAAAGTCATAATTACTTCAATACACAGTGTTTTTTAAAGTAACACCTTCTGGAAGGATTTTCTTCACTGGAGAGTTCAGATGAAGAATTATCTGTTAAATTTGACTGACCTTGTAAGTGCGAATCCTTTCTGAAGCTTAGTAGGTAGAAAGGAGTAGATGAGAGCTCTCTAACCCCAAACTGACAGGATATTCATCATATCTGGATTAGGTCCCCTGTCTACAAAGTACAGAAAATGATATTAATATCGAATTATATCCAGACTTGATCTTCCAAGCCTGTTTCTCATTTGTGGTAAAGACTATTCCATGTGGCTGATGCCACTGTGTGTCATTTCGTTCCTCTGGCAGGATCGGTATCACAAATGAGAGACACCTTTTGTTGTTGAAATCTCAGAGTACTTAACCTGCTTAACCTCTGTTCTGTCAAATCAGCTGTTAAGATTCTTTGTTTCTGCACAGAACAGCCTGCTTTCCTCCTTTAGGCCCACATTTTCCAGCTGGGGAGCACCTCTTCACAAAAAGTCTAGAACAGAGAGCATGCTTCCTATTTATATTTTGCCATCTGTTGGTACCAGCAATTGAAAGACCACCTGCATTGGAGGATACATCTGAAACATTCTTCAGTTACACTAAATGAACCCAATTTAACTACACAATGTGAACAAGCAAGTGAGTATCTGCTCCTCCATGGGCTGCAGGGGGGCAGCCTGTCTCACTGTGGTCTGCACCATGGGCTGCAGGTGAATCTCTGCTCCAGTGCCTGGAGCACCTCCTCCCCTCCTTCACTGACCCTGGTGTCTGCAGAGCTGTTTCTCTCATAGTCTCACTCCTCTCTCTGGCTGCAATTGCTCCTGCACAGTAACGTCGTCCCTTTCTTAAGTATGTGATCCCAGAGGTGCTACCAGTGTTGCTGGTGGGCTTCGCCTTGGCCAGTAGTGGGTCTGTCTCGGAGCTGGTTGGCATTGACTCTATCAGACAGAGGAAAAGCTTCTACCAGCTTCTCACAGAAGCCACCATTGTAGAGCCTTTCTTCCAGCTCTCCACCCTTTCCACCTTCCCCCCCCCCCCCAAGCCTTGCCAAGAAAACCCAATACAAATGAGTAATTGTTTCTGGTTCACCCATTCCATCTTAAAGGATGGTCATTTGTATCCTCTCTCAGTTCTGTCCTTTCAATCAAAGTGTCCTGATATAGTCACTATTTCCTTGTCAGGAATTTATTCTAGAGCTCTTAGGCAACCATCTCCTATCTTCCATCATCTTTGACATCCTTTCCTGCGCCCTTTCCTGTTATTTTCAAGATTAACCGATACCTGGATTTGAAAAAGCAGCTGAAAAGACTTTTCAAACTGACACTTTAAAAGAAGGCATGAGAGAACACCGGGGCATTCATGTGCCTATGATGTCTTTGCCCTTTGTGTAAAAAGCTCACAGAAATTTTTTCAGTGATATCATGAAGCATGCTCTGAGGATTTCCTCGATGCAAGCCCCTGGGAGGGGTATTGAACTGTCATTATTGCAGGTGCATCAGTGAACAGATACTAACTCTGCAGTTATCAGTCTGGGATATCAGAATGAGTTTTATAGCTATTTACATAGCAGTAGATGCAGACAGGCATCTCCCATGGTGCTTAGGAGGAGTCAGACACTTAACACTGTGACTTCAAAAAAAAAGGTATAGCCATATCTGTAAAGATCAGTTAGGTGCCAGCTGCTACACCTTTGAACCTTCAAAATCTAGCCCTTAGTTTGTGTGTTCCTTCCCTGCCTGTGCAAGGGGGTTATAAAACCTCCCCACCTCAGAAGAAGGCCTTTAGACTGGCCTTTTCAGTCTTTAAAAACTTAAGCTGGATAAACAATAGAGCACGACATTGCAATACTGGATCAGCTGTTACATGTGTCTGACTACAGCAGGATTTTCTCTAGGTCTGTTTCCTTTACTGAGATTTGTGAGCAATCACTGACATTTAATTCTAACTGAGACTGTGAATTTTATGAAGTTTTTCACAATATAAAATAACATTTTCCTTTGTATTTTGTGTAAATATATCTACATGTCTTCTGGCAGCTAAGCACTTTTTCCCATTTCCCTTATGAAAACATTTTTTAGCATGGAAACATGCTGTTTTAGCATCCTTGTTTTATGCCCCAGAAACATGCACTATTCTTCTCACTAGATGGAGGTCCAGTGCCATGAAAACTGTAGCTTTCTTGATTCTTCCTGTTAGTGGTGATGTTGAAATGATTGCCACAGCAATCTAAGCAAAGCTTTACAGTGTACCTGTGTTTTCCATAGAGGACACAGATAAAGGAATGCATATTTATAAATCTGTTAAAGCCTATAATACCCTCTGGTAATAAAACACTTAGAAAAAGGAATGTAAAAAAATGCCATAAAGTTGTAAAGATTTAGATGCAGATGTTCAGATGCAGACGCTTAGAAACAGTGTCAATTTTATAAAATCCAGTTGTACTGAATGAATTTCTTTTGGCAAAAGCAGAGCTATTTAATAGATCACATCTGCCTGGCTGATGCTGCATTGATCCTGACAGCAAATTGCTGTAACTAATCTGTTTTAATTAGGCAGAGTAAGGACTGCCATTTATTTTGCTTTTCAATTTTTTTAGTAATCATATTTCAGTGCCTGTACATTTAACACTCATCAGTCCTGGTACCAGAACTAAAGGAGGTAAGAGGTTTCTTGAGCAGTACTTTCCAAGCATGAGTGAGACCTGTTTAAGGCTCCTCCAGTTTTGCAATGCCTTTGCCTTTCACTTCACAGAAAGTCTGTATCCCCTTCATCCTCTTTAAACATACTTTTTTATTGTCATGTTATGCTTCCCTGAGCACCATTTATAGGACAGAAAAATACAAAAACAGAATAAATAATCAAACAAATAGGGACTTAGTTGAACTTGTTATGTTACTAGCTTGTAAGCTGATGTGCTGTGAGGGTGGTTGGGTCAGTTCTTTGGGTGATAGGAGAAAGAGGTCCAGTTTCTCCGTCTCCTCCAGACTTTGTTTATGAGAGATCAGATCATTTCAGCTCAAGCATACGAAGGGTGTTAAGGCCTAAAAAATAATATAGGTCTGGTATTTAAGCAGTCACATTCAAGATCTAGATACTGAAGATCAGATGTTTCTTAGCCTTGCAGTGACTGCAAAGTCTTACAGAACTCTTCACATCTACAACTCTCAGTGTAGGCAGTATCTTCCTGGTGAATGCTGGGTGGAATACACACACTTCATGTCCAAACCCTAAAAGAATTCACAAACTTTGGGTCTTTTAGTGTTTTTTCTAATGCTCTGGCCTATTCTGGACTTGGAGGTTTCTATTTGGGACTTACATAATACGACATAGGTGCCTATTGCCATTGGAGATGCCCTTGGTTATCAAGTCATCAATGTAGAACAGACAGATATGACCCAGTACATTTGGAGATGTGTGTCTTTCTGAAGTGGCATCTGGAAGCAAGATGATATACCCTAGGGCATGTAAACATGCACTGTCTGCCTATGCTTGGGCACCTAAATTGCTCTTCTTTGCACAATAAAGGCAATTAAGAACCTAATGAAGAATCATGTATTCTGCTTAGCAGCCTGGCATGAAGATTTACTGCAACAGCGCTAAATGCTTTTTTAGTCATCTCCCTTGGTGGAGGTAAGTATAGGAGCTACCTTATGTGTAAACCAAGGGCCTCAATACTTCACAGAGATGAAAATAAATAACTTGCAGTTTTTGAGGTGCTGAGCTACCAAGGAAATATTGGCTGAATAAGTATTGTCATTTAAAAAACCTAGGTAGGCAGCTCCACATCTCTATCTAGGATGTTTCAGCCCCACTGAATTGCATGGGGCTTGCAGCAGACTCAGTGCTCACTGAATTTTGCTGAATTTGGGATGGGTAAAAAAACATTTAATAATAAAAAGAAGCATGGATGCTTCAACTTTTAACCCATTTAGACCTGAATTCCTAAAATTGTATAAAATTGTTATATAATTTTTGCATTGATCCCTTTGCCAAGTCCCTTCCCCCTGTTATTTTTTGATGCTGGCTAATTTTAAACAGGTTCAAAAAAGGGTAGAATACTGAAAGATGTTTTCCTACTAGTTTAATGGAAATAAATATCAAGATAAAGGAGAAATTTATGACTCCTCTGAGGAAGGCACAGCTCAGTCATTGTAATCCTCTTTCATAGCAACCTGCTGGCTAATAAGTCATGCGCATAACATGTTGGCCAATTCACATGAACCCAGCTCCAGATGACTCATAGTGACTGGTTTTTTCTTTCCAGTGGATGCATTATAAGTGCCTGTGGACAAGCTGGGGTGAGAAGCAGGACAGGAATAGGAGATACAATATAGATCCATGTTTCCAGGCCTCTTCTATTTCTCTGCTCATGTACCATTTTATTTTGTTATAGATTCAGCAATTACTGTCATGTTTCCTCATAAGTTTTCTCTCACTGAATATACTGTATTTACTTATAAACAGTGAATACTTTCCATGATTTAAAATGTAAGCCTACTCTCAAAAAACGCAGGTCATGCAGGAGCTACTTGGCTGTAAAGGCAGGCTGAGAGTTTTTCTACATAAAAGCACTGTTATTCTTAGTGCTATATGAATTATCTTTGGTCTGATGTATACCACATGTATGGCTATAGAAGAGAAAACTTCTGAAGTTTTTCAGGGGTAGTCAAGGTATATTTTCTTTTATGACCCATTTCTAGTTGCTAAGGTTATATTTTTCAAAATTGTCCTGAACCCATTATGTCTTTTTCCAGATTTATACTTTAGCCAATGAATATCACTTATAAAATTGTCTTTATGAAATAAATCAGTCATGCCTTGCCAGTTCTTAATTAAAAAAGAAGCAGAATTTATTAAAATCAAAGTCTTTGCTGTTATTGACTTTGATTAACAAATCACTTGAATGGGGGAAAAAACACTGGGATTTTAACATATAGAAAATGTTATGCAGTGCAATCTCCCCTAGCACAGAGATGTTAGAGCTGGAAAACCAGAAAAGTTCAGTGGTCAGGTCTCCCTCATGACTCTTGCAATGCTGTAAGAGATACAGTAAAAATCTATGAAACACTTCATAAAAAAAAAAAAAGTTATATGTTTACATTCAAGAATGTTTTCATTATTCTGTCATGCTGCTTCCTACTCTTCTTCAGTTCACTTTAGGCCAGAAAAGTTTAATTTTCTCTGTTGACTCAGAAAGGGAGCTAGCCTGTCAGTGAATGTGCACGATGAATCTCGAGGGAAGGGAATTCAATTATGTTGAGTAAGTTTGTTTTTTATTGTTTTACTTTATTTGTAATAAATACAAAAAGCTTATGGTGCCAAAGGACTGCAGTATAGTTGCATAAAGATTGATTACAAACAATAAAAGAAATAGAAAATATCACTGGTATATATACCGAGCCTCTGGTTTTTTTCTAGTTGCTATAGTAATGTTTGGCACCTTGGTTAGTTATTCCAGCAAGCTTTCTCATGCTACGTCCCTGGGAGATTTGTCAGTTCAGAAAGACTGAGAACAATGACTCTGCCTTGGATCTGAAGATAGACCTCATTAGTTTTGAGGATTAGACACAATACCTAACACAAACATGGGTAATCAGCATACAAGCATGGAGAGGAATACTAGGATGCTTTTAATGAGGCCACCCTTCCTGGTTATTAGATTGCTGTTCTGCACTCCAAAGACAGCTGGTTGTAAGTCTGGTGGGTAACCCTATTGAAACTGTCATCCTAATAATAGCTGCCCATGTTTAAGCCTAGACTAAACCAGCTCAAAGGCTTCTGCAACCCAGGGGGAGTTGCACTGGTATTCAGAGGACCACAGAAAAAGGTAAGTAACAAAAGGCTGGGTTTTGATACTAAATCAAGTCTTTGAAACATTTTTGCTCTGAGAAGTCCAAGTTCTAGAGGACTTAAACAGGAGTAGCTCTTTGCAGGTGCTGGTCCTTTCCTTTTGTTTTTCTTCACTATCAACTAAATTGTCAGTGTTTTTGCTGTTCTGGGAAGAATGAGAAAAAAGTGTCATGCGGCACTGCCACTATTCTCAGCTTTCCTGCCTGGCTTGTGGAGTAGATATTTTTTCTTAATAACCGAGTCTTTGGCCAACTCAGTGAGAATATCGGGTATTTTGCAACAGATCAGGCATGTGCCAGTTTCTCTGTGCTGTACAGAAGCATCCCCCCCCCCCCCCCCCCCAGCTTGAATTAAACTGCTGTAGACTTTGAAAGCTGAATATTAACAAAAGCTAAATTAGTAACAAAAAATATCTTTTAGGTCCTGCTGTTGTTTTCTTGCTGTTGTTTTTCATCTCATGACTGAGGTCTTACAGTGTTGGACTCTGTCATTGGCCATACCCCATGAATTCATATTTTTTGAAGTTCCTTGGCAAGTTGACAGGAAGATCAGTGAGGGAAAAGGGATTTTGGAGCTTCTGCTCTCAGAGGCAGACACACTTCACTCCTTCCTCAAAAATCTTTCACGCCCTCTTAATATTTGTGTGTGTACACAGACCTGCCTGGAGTCCTAGTACATCTCTTGAGAGTGCTGTATTTATAATAATTGCATTATAACTCTACGTTAATTAACACCATGGATGCAAAAATGACAGTTTCCAAATAGATCTTTTTTGCTCTTGAGAAGCATGTGCTCAGTCAGTAGGAAAGTTACAGTTTGGTAAAACTGATTGCTTTGGGTTTCTCCATGAAGGGCCTAACCAAAGGTGTAGGGAGCAGTCGAACTGAAACCAGAGATTTTAGGTAGAGCTCACATTGCTTTCCGAGTGTCATTAATGATAACTCTGTGACCAGGGAACTGTTTTTAAGAATCTAAGTTCCAAGAGTCTATTATAAACTTTGTCAGGAACCATGACAACCCCCAAGGTTTCAGGAATGCAAAGCTGACTTTAACTTGGACCCATCCACTTGGATCTCTCTATTTTGGATCTGGTTTATGTTGTGCTGGCCTTTTTCTCATGCACATTTGCTCATAAGGGGTAGTCAGTCAAGGGATTAATTAACACAAGAGCTTATGAAGTCTAATGTAAATGACAACTTTTTCTTGCAATGATTTCAGGTGGATGTGCTCCATGATATAGCTATCCCATGACCAAAAGGGTGTTAGTAGTGGTAAAAAGAAAAAAGGCAGGAAGGTGAGGTTGGGCTATCTGCTGGTGCAGCACAGACTATGAAGTCTAGTTACATAGAACACTGCAAAGAAAATGGTCAATGAAGACTATTAGGAATTAAACTGAGTAAGAGGTCACATGGAAGAAGATTTTTTCACTTGGTGAGGATGATAAAGATATTGAATGGCAAATCAGTTGTATAACAAGTTGTAAAATGAAGGTTATCTTACTAGCTGTGTAAGGAGGAGAAGGAGTTAGAGAAATGTTTCATAAGATAAAACACTGAGGAGTGGACTATAGTCCTGACTGCTCCAGATCAGCATTTCTTAACCTTGGAGTTGCTAGAAACAGCCAGTGAGGTACAAAACACCTCCTGTCATCCTAAGCAGCACTTACAAATTGAGGTGGAAAAGGTTTCTTGACAGACTGAAAGGAAGTAGTACCTCAGGAGAAGTTGATCAAGTCCCAGTGAGTGCTTCAAAGTAGTGAAGATGCTGAGATGTCCTATCTGAACATCTTTATTTTGTATGCTATTGGTTTAGGCTCCCTCTTGCAAAATGAGTACCCATTTATTTTGATAAGAGCATGCTCCTGCAGAAGGAGATGGTAAAGCAATTCAATCAAAGCCTTTTGCTGAGGTGGAATGGGCTTACAGTGTTCTAGAAAACTGGGGGAACTACAACCAATTTAGGGGACCTCATCTGAAAATTTTAGGTTGAAAATCCTTGCCAAAGTAAACTTGTACTAGACTGGATGATGAAGAATTGTGCTTTTGCATATATTAAATGTCCAACAATTTCACAAATGCCAAACCACTTATGCTATATAGGTGTCCAAATTACGGGGTGCTCAGGGTTCCTGTCAGGATCCTCTAATATTCTTTATGTTTTATATGGACTGAGAGCAGTTTCAGAGGGTAAACAACACAGGGTGAACAAGGGCACAGATAAATATCCAATATCTAAAGCTCAGATGCATATGCAGGATTTTCAGATCATTATAAATACAGAAATTTCAAAGTATTTGCTACCTTCACCTCTTCCCTCTGCTCCTCATGCTTTTTGTGTTTGTACCTGAATAAGTACCCATGTTTAAAACTGGCACAGTTTATAGTCTTGGACTTCTTTTTATCTTTAATCTGGTTGTAGTAGAAAGCTTTTCCTTTCAGAATTTGCTTTCTGAAGTTACACCAGTTGAACAGATGTTGTGTTTTTAATTTATTTGAAAACAATTGCCAATTACCTGCACATCTGCGGTCCATCCTGCCAATTAGCAGAGCCTGCTCTCGTGCTGGCAACCAATGAAGTGCAATGTAGCCCAAGGCAGAACACTTGCCTGTGAAGAAACCCAGCTTACTTTCAAGAAAGTGTGCACTAAATGCTAAGACTGTACCTAAGATGCACTTGGAATGCTGCTCAGAAAATTTCTGTTAATAGTTTACTGATTTCATTAATGAAGATTTTCTGGTTAACTGCCTTCCTTGTGCTGGTGTTATGAGGGAGAGAGTCAGATCACCTGGCTGATCTTGATGGAAATCATATTCATTATTTGGTTTTAACCTCCAAATGGTGTAAAAAAGGTCTTACTCTGTGCAGCTCTCTTAACTGTAGTGAGATCTCATAATCTGAAGGGGAGGGAAAAAGAAGAGTTTGGTATGCATTCAAGAAGTGGAAGACCTGCTACAGAAGAGCACTGTGTTTAGAGAGATCTAAAAGGGCACGTCAAGTCTTGACTAAGCAACAGCAGTGTGTCCCGTGTTTCAGGAAAAGGCCTAACATGGTACAAGTCAAGTCCCGCTGCCTGCACCCAAGCTGAATGATGAGTGCGTGCTCTCTGACTTGAGTATGTGGATTCCCTTCTGGTGGAGGTGAAAGTACAAGAAGAAATGGTAAGATGGGAAGAGCAATGATGCATATGTCTGGATGTAGTTATGACATGAGGCTGGGTACAGATGTGCTTAAGGGTCTCACCCAAACTGAGAAGCTTAGGGTGCTGCTTGAATCTGCTTATTTAGGTAGAACTGCTCAGGTCCACTGGGTGTTTTGGTGACCGGAGTAAACAAAAATCTCAACAGAAATGATTGCAAAAGAGGAGGGAGGGAGGTGGGGGAGGGATATCATCTGCCTAAATTTGGTGCCCAGCTTGTGCCTTCATTTCAGATGCTTAGTGGTGCATGGGCAGATGCATAAGATCCCCAAGTTATTGGCAAAGAAGAGCTCTTAGAATTTCTCCAGAGGTCAGCTGGGGACCTACAAATAATACTGGTGATTGCAACCTTAGATTACCAACAAGAAGTTGCTGTAAATTGCTGTAAATTTCTGTAAATTTTAGACCTGTCCTAACGTATGTGTTTTCCCAAGAACAAAAATAAAGCTGAAGTGTAGGGAGGTAGGACTTCATAATCACACACAGTTACTAAGCATCCAGTCATTCACAGCAGTAACTCTAAAGCCAATGCACCTTTTACAAACTATCTTCCAAAATTTGACTTCTGCTTGTTGCACAGGCTGTTCAGAAAAGAAACCCAGTTCGGTGACTGAATGCTTCACATGGGTTGAAATCAGCTAGCTCTGAAGTTTGTTAACACCAGTTTGGAAGCTGGGTTGTGTATGCCTTGGGAGACTATAATAAGAAGCTGCAGGAGAAATTAGAGGTTTTCAGCTATATAAACTTTTAGGAAGCTTCAGAACAGCTGGGAGCAATTAAGCTGAGGCTGGAGGAAGAGGTAGAAGAAGGGACAGGGAACTATTGTAGGTAATCAGATCTGTCAAGGCTTTAGGTTGAAAATATTTAGTTGAAAATACTTAGTGTAGTCTGCAGCATTTGGTGTGAGTGAATTGGATTATTCTTCCTGTTGTCTGAACTCTTCAGGAACCCCATATAATCTGGTAGGGTGTGCATTTGTCCAGTAGAGCTGAACAAGGTACAGAATAGGTTGGTTGACTGAAATGAGATTTTGTGTTCTACTTAGGCCTTCCCCTACAAGGGTGGTGACAGCAAAAGCCTCGTTTTGTTACCCAAACTATTAATGTTTGGGTAGGGTGGAAATGTACGGGAATTATATTATCCCACTCCAGAATTAGAATCCAGTCAAGAAACTGGGAAAACACTTACTGGCAGGAACAAATGTTCTTGTATGCTAGAGAATATGAACAATTATTTTTCATTTTAGTTCAAATGTATTTGAATACATTTTTATTGCATTTTGTAACATCTTTAATTAGAAGTTTTATACTAGAACCCCTGTACTCTAGGAGAAATGTCATTGTGGGTTGAAAGGTTCAACTCTGAATCAGTGCCCTGAAATCGGTTTTGGTTAATTTTAATGTGAACTGAATGTCAATTGTTTCTGTAAGTCTTTCCTGAATCTTGATTATCCTTATCTTATATGTTTTCTTTTTGAGTATATTAAACTTTCTTTTTTTAATTTTCAGACAATAGTCACCATTTTTCAGTATTTGTTATTTTCCTTTTGGTACCATTGCCTTCTTTTTTTTTGTTGTTTTATTTTGTGCTGTTTCCCTGCATGTCAGAAAAGCTTCAATTATATCAGGCTTTGAGGGGGAAAAAGATGGATCTCGGACTTTACAATAAATATACTACTTACTGCATTGCATCAGTTTTTTCTTTTCACTTAATCTTTTTTCTTTTCTTCTTGATGAGAATGCCAGATCTTTAGATGCCAAACTGTGAGTTGGTCCTATTCACTTTAGAAAAGGCCTTTTCCGCTGTGTTAGCAACGAACTGGCAGGTTTCAGTTAGAGCATGGTCCATTGCCTGCTTTGGAGCTTTTCTGCTTTTCTTCCCAGACATCTGGGCTATTGGCTTAGTGAGAGAGACACTGGACTTACTGTCCTACTAATCACAGGATTAACCACAGAACGCTTTAAAAATTATTTTGCTGATGATGTAGCCCAGCTTTTCCTTCAGTGAATACTCATGGCCACTGAGAATCCATTCTTCTCATCCAGTTTTCCAACGTATTGCTTTATTTTGGCAAAGTTTATGTAATTCTTAGTGTTCCATTGTCCATAAGGCCTCAGATGTTTATTTCTCTGCAGTTTTACATGGGATACAGCAATGGGTCAAAGCTGCGATTTAAGCAGTATGATCCAATGAGACAATGGGAATTTTCTGTTGCTTTAGTAAATACATGGGTTTGTTTACTCAATACCACATAAACTGCATCCAAGCAAAACTTAATTAGGTGCTCTGCCAGGAAAATACTCTGAGAAGAGAGGAATGGATAACAGCTGGTTCTGTCAGCTGTTGCAGTTTTCAGACATACAAAGGTAAGAGAAGTGTGACTGATTTATTTCCACCAAAAGAGTAAACAGGTGAACAAGCATGACTTCTTCACTTAGGTTATCTTATCTAACATGACAAGAAGGAAGACAATCTTATTTGATGGTAAGTCATGTTGAAGCTCCTGTGCTGGGTCTAAATCCTTTGCAATTTCATTATATCAACAGATTTGTGACCACAGAATTTTTCCTATGTCAAGGACATTAAATAAAAAAAAAAAAAAACCAAACCAAAATCTTAACACAAATATATTTACTAAATAGGTTTCTATTGATATTTTTAATTATTATTACTGTTTCTGTTGTTGTTCTTCATGCAGTCGTAAAATACATTTTATTTTGGGGTGCCCAAGTCTTGATTTTTCTATTTTACATATTTTTACTACACTTAGATCTTGATGACTTTGTTTGAAAGAGCTGTTTATGTAGCAAACCTCCTCTTCCTCTCCTCCCATAACATTCACGATGGCAGCTGCTACTTTGACTTGCTTTTTCCATAGGCACACATTGTTGCTGCCATCCCCTGGATGGAAAGCTGTCATTTGGTTCCCGGTATGTGGTAGCTGGTGAGGTTTGTGATGTTGTGCAGCTTGGAGTAAGTTGGAGTATCACCAGCTGAGCACCAGCTGTGCTTTGTTACAAAGGCAATTTGTCACCTGTAAAATACTGCAACTTACTGTCCCGTTGCAATTTACCATTATCTTGCACAGAAATGCTCTTTATTTGTCACCTAAAGGAAGACTTTGTATGCTGAGCATGCTTCAGCCAGTTCTTCTAACACTGGATGGAAGAATAGAAAGGAAATTCTAAACTGTTTTCTCCTTTATATATTCTTTTAAATTACTCCAGAATTAGCATTAATTTCAAGAGACCAGTAAGTACTGTTCATCAATGAGGAAGCAAGTGGTTAAAACTGAACCAGCTTTGGTGCAGTAGTGCAAATACAGTATTGACATACCAGGCTGTTATAGATCAGCCTCTGAGGCTGGCATAGCTGCAAATCAAACTTCTCATATTGACAGACTGGTTATCACTGAGATTACCCTGAGGATGACATCTGAGAACATCCAATGCAAACATGCTACGGTGGTCAAAAATGGATTTACTTTTTAGTTTGGCCTATTCAGTCAATCCTACCGTATTTCAATCCTGGTCTGGCTGTCACAAGCAGCCTCTCATCTGAAGTTTAATCCTTTGGTAATGAATTGTTTTCTCCCATGTGGTTGTGCAGCTGACTCACCCTACAGTGAGGTTTTATGTGGTTCTGCAATGTGACAAATATGTTAATGTATGCAGAACAATGCTTCCAGTCCTGGCAGATACTTGCTGTATCCATAATGTCAATAATGACAAACTTCTTGCATGCTATAAAGTACTCTGATAAGGCTATATGATACAGCTCACTGAACTTAAAGTTGATTCTGCCTAATGATCAAAACCCAAAGAACAGCTCTTTCTGCCTTTCTGTAGCAGTAATTTAATAAGGTAAAATACCATTAAATTCAATGAGGTGTGATTAACAAATACACAGAAGCGAGAAGTCCATAAAAATGTGAGCTTGCACTTCATTGTTGTCTCATGGGTATTTAGGTGCTTTGGAGAAAATGATTAGGGAGGTGGAAACTGAACTTTTTTCAGCTTTCCTGCAAAAAAAAGAATCTTTAGCTGACATCCCATTTAAGGGCCAAGTACTACATTCACATATAGTGGCAGCATAACAGTTGCTGAGATTTTTTATTTATGGCCATATGCATTTTTAATGCCAAGCATAATTTATGTCCTTGAATTTTGCATATTTAAGAGAAAATGATGTTTACAAAGATTATGAAATAAAAATCAAATTGTGTTTCTATGTTGGTAGAATAGCTCTTGAGGAGACAGAATGTTCCCAGAAGATGCTAAAACAAACATGCAAACAGAACTCTAAATTAGGACCAAGGCAAGAGTTCAAGTGCTTTATTTTCTTTCTGAGACAGGCATCTTAACTGTTTGCTTCAAAGATACAGATCAAATAAATCCAGAAAGTTACATTGCCTTGTTGAATCACTGTCTTAAAGGTTATTTTAACTATGTTGGAATACAAGCTTGAGGTCCATTCAGGGTAATTCACTGTGCAGACACAAGACAAGGCTAACCCTTATATATCAGTAGAAATAAAAAAGTCTAAAAATGGAAGAAAGAAATGTCTGTACTAATGGGCACCAAATGTCATAACTTCAGCTTTATCAATGGTGTTAATGGCAATTTTTATTATCAATGGGTGCAAGTATGGTTTTAGATGATGGTGGCTGAGAGCTTTGCAGGAGCAGTTCTTGAAAACCCAGTACCTCTACACTGCACATGTGTATGTGTGTATGCATACAAGTATTTCGTAGACAAGAGACTGTAGATTAAATTCAGCACAGAATCAGTTTGCATGGTCTGGTTTAGAGGTTAGAGGCAATTTAACCCTGTGAGTTTAAATGTGTGTCTGAACTGAGTGGCACCTGACAAGCCTCACAAACATGCACAGCAAAAAACATAAAAACATAAAAAAATTGGGAAATTACTGCATCAGCCTGTGAGGTCTAATGCCATTTATAAAAGAGGGTCATAAGACAGCTTCTAGCATGTTCACACTTGCTGCATATGACCAAAAGCATATGTACAATGACAAATCTGGGTCAGAGTCAGGCTGTCTGGCAGAACACTGAGCACAGCTGGGCTGACCACAGAGAAGCCATTTTCCAAAACCTGGGCTTCGTGCACAGCTTGTTGAGGGTCATGTGCTCCTGCCTTTCTCAATGGGTTCTCATGGGAGTCAGCCCCAAACTGACCTAATTAAATGTCTGTGGTAGGAGGCTGCTGCCTCCGAGATGTGTCTGGAATGAGCTACTGGGAGAAATGATTAATCCTGTCTGTGAGCAGAATGTTGTTTGACATTCACTGGTTTGTCAAAGCTTTCCTGCAGTAATGTGAGTTTGAAGCACAGCAGAGGCCATAACAGGAAACTTCTGGGGAACACTGCTGTCTGAATGGAAGGTGGCTACAATCAGTGTTGGTGCTCTTCCAGCAAAACTACTCCTGCTCCCAGATCATGGCATGGTCTCTTAGAACAAATCTCTCTACCCTGTTGGCTATGATTTCAGTTGAGCTGTGGTAGCCACAAGCAGAAAGGTGGACATTCAAATGGAGGGGTAATAATTGTTCAACCCTAAAACCTCATCTGTCAACGCTCTCAAACAGAACTTTTGCATGAAAAATATTTTGTTGTAGTCTGAGACAAATTAAAAGCAAACTAAACATTTCCCCCCTCTTTTAAAATGAAAATAAACATTACCAGGATATGACAATTAATTAATCCTGGTTAATTAATCCATGTTTGGCTTGGTCTGGCTGACCTAAAGAGGTAAATTAATTCTTCCCTTCCCTTTCACCTATTATTCTGGTAAATCAGCAAACAGGGGAGAAGAGCTTAACTGGACATCTAATGTAACAGATTTTTTTCTGAGTGTCAGTAGCTGTTAAGGTTACATGAACTCTGGGAGGTAGCAATCCAAGATCTGACCACTTTGATGTTCTTTGCAGTTGTGAGCATGTAAAGTCCTTTGTACTTTAACTGTTTTACTACTTATGTGGCTATTGTCGCTTTTTGAGAAGAGAAAGAAAAAACAAACTTGACTGATAGGAGGAGGAGAAGAAGGATGAAAAGAGCTACCATTTCACTGGTCTTGAAGTAGCTGCTGATGCAGGTATTCAGTATCACCCCCTGGACCAGCTCCCCTGGCCTCTCCTCAGAGGAAAAAATGCTTCAACCCTCTGGCTTGCTGGCCCTCTGCCTGATGAATTCGGTCCAGGTTAACAAGGTCTCTCTTGTACTGGGGAGCCCAAAATTGGACATAAGACTCTGAATGCAATATCACCAGTGCTGAAGAGAGGGCAAACATTACATAGCTTGACTTGCTAGCAATAGTCTTCCTAATGTAGACCAAGATGTGCTTGGCTTTTTTCCCTGCAAGGGTGTATTGCTGGCTCTTGTTCAGCTTATTGTGCACCAGGACTCCTAGGTCTTTTTCTACAAAGCCACAGCCTGGATTCAAACTTGTACTGGTGTATGGGTTTGTTCTGGCTTATTCTGTACTTCCCACTGTGAATTTAATGAGGTTCCTGTTGGCCCATTTTTCCAGCCCTTTCTTAATGGCAGCTCAGCTTTCTGGCATATGAACTACTCCCTACAATTTGGTATGCTCCACAGCTTGCTGGGGGTACATTCTCTCTTGTTACCTGGGTTGCTAGCAAGGTTAAGCAATACTAGTTCTAGTAAGTGTTTCAAAATGTGTCTATATGGTTAAGAGAACTGTATTTTTGTGTTTTGTCTTATTCCTACTGTGCTTGCTGAGGCTTCTATGAAAGTGAGATTTCTGTTTCACTGCAGACTAAAGAATGGAAGCTATGTGCCCATTTCTCCCCTTTTCCCAGCTATCCATGACTCTATAAATAGGTTGATCAATTTATTTAGCTGCTATTCTGTACCTTTAAAATGTGGTTAATGTTTCCAAAGCACTGTGAAATGCTGTACTGAAAACCTGCCAAATATCATTAAATAGAGATTTGTGCTTCTGGAATATAAAAATAAAAGCCTAATGTCTCAGATATGAAAGGAAAATCCCAGTGTGTTTATGAGCATAATTCCAATTCTAAATGTATCATTGTCAGAAAAGCCTCCATCTTTTCTCTTAGGATGGTCCTAAAAAAGCACCTCTCTCCCATCCCAGATGTTGAATCAATTCATGAGCTCTGGATGATCTTCAAAACCAAACCCAGGCCACTAACCAGTACTGACACACCTAACGCACAAGTTCCCTTGACCTTGAATAGTCCTCATGACAGGACCACAAGACTACAGCTTTTGAGGACAGCCTCAAACTGTACTTTCTCCTTCCCAAGCAGAACGCACAAGCAGAGCCTAGGTGTACTGGTAGACTGTCAGTAAAAGCTCAGTCTCAAAGAGATGTGCTCCTAGTCAGTATTAGCAGGACCTTACCTCCATGCACATCAGGATGGTTTTATATTTGATTTTGGTATTAAAGATAATGAATGTTACTTAACAAGTAATATTGGTATCTCTGATGGTTTACTGGCTTGCATGACAATTCGTAGGGCAATGAGAAAACTGTTGTGGGTTCTCTCTGTCACACAATTTCACAGTGACAAGCAGTAACTGTTCAGGTAACTGGCCATGTCCGGAAGTTATGGGTGGTTTAGGAGTGGTGGACTTTCTCTGACAGCTTTTCTGTCAAGTAATATGTAACAACACTAACTCTGTTTCAGGAGAGATGACTTCCAATCTCAGAAATGTAGAAAAGGCAACAGGGTCACGGTGAGTATTTGTTGTTTCTAATATAGTGGCACATGTTCTGAGACAAATTTAATGATCAACTTAATGAGAGTTAGCTGCAGTTGTCTGCATGTAAATTATGGGCTCTATGAAGAGTCCTTTGTGAGAGGTACCATAGCTGGTATGACTGATACATGAATGAAAAATTCCTGTGTTGGGAAAGAGACTACTGCACTGTAGGTGATGTTTAACCAACCCTAATAGATATCCTTTCAACAGCCTTCTTTAGTGAGTTTTGAGTTTGTAAAGAATAACTGCAAATTACCTTCATTTCTGCTTCTTCATGCTGAAAGGCGATTTTCTGGTCATTCCTGAGAGCTGATGTGAAGAGCATAAAAGCAATTTGCTCTGGTTTTCCATTAAACCTGTCAGAGCGACCACCCCTCTTTCGTGATCTGACAAAACAGGTTTTTGAGTTCACTGGAGAATGAACTCTGGAAGGCTTGTTCAGCACCAGCTTGACGTGCAGGACAGCAGGGAGCTGCTGTATGAGCATTGTGTGACCAGGTCAAGATAGGTTTGCTTGTCTCTGAGCCTTCCCATGTGACTGGCACACATTGTGTCACAGACTACACCTGTAGCTTCAGTGGTAGTTAATTTATCACAGACTCACTTGAACACAGTAGAGGATGGATTTCTACTTGGTGGATTAAAAGTAGTCCTGCTAAGCTGTTCTGCTTTCACACTTCTCTGTGTGTGTACAACTGCAGGGAAGCTGTGCAAGCTGCTTACATCCTGATGGGACCTGCTTATGTACAGTGAGGCAAGACAGGCTGGTTGCTCACTGAGATCTATATGTGAACAAAGAAGCCAGTTCCTCTAAATTGTGTGGGTGAAAAACCATCTCTCCTGACTTTCTGCATGTGACTGAGGACTGAGTTTGTGACAGTGAGTGTGGTCGTAAGGTTAGGTGGCCAAAGCCTTTTTAAAACTTTGTTCTATTTCTGCTGGGCATAGGACTACAAAAAATTCAGAGCATCAGCAAATAACTGAATGGTTTGGGTTGGAAGAGACCTTAAGGTCATCCAGTTCCAACCCCCCTGCCATGGGCAGGGACATCGCCCACTTGACCAGATTGCTCAAAGCCCAATCCGGTCTGTCCTTGAACACTTCCAGGAGTGGGGCAGACACAGCTTCTCAGGGCAACCTGTGCCAGTGTCTCACCACCTTCACAGTGAAGGGGCTGAAAGCAGCTGAAGAGCTTGCTTTTGTACATCACTGGAATAAAGAACATTCCATTCTTTTATTTATGAAGGCTATAGGGCAAGTGAGAAATAAATGTGCGCACACATACTCACCTATCTTCCAGTTAACAAGATAAGGAAATCTGTGTGGTAACACAAAATATTTTCATCAAGTGAAAATAATCATAGCTAGCCTGCATTATGATAGGCATCTACACAGACTCTACCACATGTGGCCTAAGTGTTGCAAATACTAAATTTGTTGAAAAGATATCAATGATTTATAGGGAGAGATGCATTTAAAATTGTTACAGCACTTTATTGCACGAACTCATCAGCCAGGGATTATTGTGGGAACACGATAGACAACAAAATGAGATATAGGGTAATTGTACAGGATAAAGGTCTTTGGTGTTTAGATATTTATTTCCTTTGTTTTTCCTTAGACAAAGGTTACTCCTTTTAATACCTGACTGATTCATGTGGCAAGTCTTCAATTTTAACATCGTCTTTCTATGAGTCAACATCTACATCATTTTAATATAAGGAAGTTTTGCTGTTAATACTGATTGTTGCGTTACTGTTATTTTCCTATATTTCATTTGCACCCTTTCACTTTTCTTTTTTTATGCTTGTCACTCTTAGGATATGGTCTGTGTGTTTAATATCTGATATTCAGAGGTATTACATATATGCTTTTGGTTCAGTATCAGACAAGGATTGACTGATAAATAAAACTGGAGCTAGCTACAGTAGACCTATTTATTTTCTATCTCATTCTGTTAGTTATTACTGGGTTTGTTTTTCTGTTAATACACCCTTCTTTAGTTACTTACACCATCACCTTGTATTTGGGATGTTTTCATTCAGCTGTTACGAGGTATATCCACCTTAGTACCAACCGGGGATATTGGTAAGGATTGTTTATTTCTCTTTTATCCAATGGTACAACAGAGTAAAAATAATCTTTCTTAACTCAGCAGTTCCTCCCCAAGCACACTGATTGAGGGTTGTTCTTGATTGTTTCCATTCTGTGTAACTTTAAAGTTCTCATCTGGCCACACAGACCAAGAAGCAGAAAGTAGATATGTTTGAGAAGTTTCCCAGTTGCCTGATAAAATATATGAATCACCACCTCCAGAGTGCCTATGGGAACATGGTGCAAAAGGAGCTGAACAGAAGGTAGACCATGAACAGAGGTAGACAATGACAAACTTCTGCCCCTATCAGGGGACCCACCGCCCCTTGGCTTGTCATTGTCCCAGGCTCTGGGTGACCAGCAGCATCTCTGCAAACCCAGTTCTCTACTGCTCCCCAGGGGGGAGATGGTTCCTGTCAGGGCCAGTGTTTGAAATCATAATGTTATTGGTAATATCTTTGAATGAGCTAAGTTTCTTGCTTGCCTCATTACTGCTCTGAGAAAATAAAGTGAATTGCCCAGAATATGACAGCCATATAACTGATTAATAATACTGACTATGTACCAGCATGCTGAAACTGGTTCTGTATTGATTTTGGAGTTGAGAGAAGAGATGTTAACAATGCCCTTGCCCTATTGTATGAATGTCCACAGAAGCAACCTTTCCTCTGGAAAAACTGCATCCCAACAAACTGTGTGCTGCAGCCAGCCCTTTGTTTCTTCCCTGGCATGAGCAGAGGGCAAAAAGTGCCTCTCAAGCCCTCTTCTGAAAAGCCTTGTGGGCTTTGGTGGGTTGCCAGA